CTCTAGCTAGAGACAAAATAGAGAAATCTCAACTTTTCTCTGTCACGAACTCTATAAGCTGTGTACACGGTAGACAATAGTTACCTCTCGCCTAAATTTAGTTTTCTATCTCGAATTGTTGTCAACGCTTGTTGTATGTATATATGTTTTTATATTAACCCTGGAAGATCATGGTTCGTCGTTTCGACGACGCGAGTTTTTATTTTACCGTTATCGCTGTTTTCCTTTGTTTGTATAGTGCTAATTTTTCGTACAGCGCTAGACGGTGTTGTGCTGTTGATGTGTGCGGTTACTTAAAGGGCATTCGCACGAGGCGATTTTACAGGCAACAAAAGTTGAACGCGAAGTTGAATGAGAAGTTGAAAGTGAAAAAGTTGCCATCCCTATACAGACGAGGCGATTTTCGGTTCAACACGAATTGTTATTTAAATTGTTGAAAATGAATTTAAATCGCAAAACTTTATCAATTGGCGTAAATTTGGTAAGCCAAGCGTTGGTAGAAGTGCTTTTAGCGAAGCTGAAATATAAAATAAAAGTAAAAAAGTAAAAGTGTGTATACAGAATGTAAACATACACAGGGTTGCAAGGAAAAAAGTTGAACGAGCTCAAAGTTGGCTGGCGACCAACTTTGTTGAAAGCGATTAGTTGAAATGCCGTTCGGACGAGGCGATTTTTGCTTTCAACTAAAAATTGCCTGAAAAATCGCCTCGTGCGAAAGCCCTATTAGATTCATGCGCTTCGTGTAAGTACAAGAATGATAGAATATAAGATTGCGCCCATCAGAGAGGATTTTTGAGAACAACTTTTGTCTGACGTCACACTGGTGCAATTGCGAGAGAGAAATGCCAAAACGTGAGCAAGAATGAAAGAAGAAGAAAAAATATTGCAAGGAAAACGTAAACAAGTTGCACAAGTGTGACGTCATACAAACAACGATTCTGTCAAATTCACTGAGAGAGGAATAGCGGTACCGTGATGGGCGCAACCCCTATTTCTTTCAATCGTGGTGTAAGTACTTATTTTTTAAATGCGCGTAGTCAAAACGACGAAGGATGATCTTTGTGTATGTTTTACGTTCATGTTTTCAAAGTACAATTTGAAAATTTTCTTAAGTTTTTTTTTTTTTATTTGTTTATATATTTTACTTGTGCAGTTATAATACACGATGAATGCAACCAAAAGTTATACCGACGAAGAAAAAAAAATGCGCAATTTGTCCCCCTTCTAAGCGACGCTTAACAAATCATCCTGCGCCAAAAAAGTATCTGTAGAGAGCATAAAATAGAGCTTGCGCCTCTTGCACAAAATGAGAACTGTCGTATCTGAAATTTGTTCCCTTTTTTAGTTCATAGTATTATTTTTAAGAAAAAAACACTTTAAATTAATTATATGTACTTTAAGTTACTTTTTTTTGTATTTTCTAATTAATGTTTTGTACAAAAAGCCAAATGAATCAGAGCTGTGAAATCTTGAATTACAATCAAAAGACTAAAGAAAAACTACTAGATATTGTTTTATTAAAAAAAAATATGAACAAAATAATGTGAAAATAATAAGTTTTGTGCATTATGATACACAGGTTAATTTTAATAACGCCTTTTAGAAATGCCGTCGTCGAATCGACGAAGGATGACCTTTGCGTTATAAAAATAACGATGACCTTCCAGGGTTAAAGCCACGATGTAGAAAATATAGTTGGCGCCATCAGCGGAGCGCTAACCCTTCGTCGATTTGACAGCATTCACCTATTTTCGTACGTCATAAAACACATTTTCGCAATATGGACAAGAATTAAATTTTCAAATTGTACTTATTTACGGAAAAAAGTTTACCTAAAAGTAGACAAATGTACCTAAAAATTAAACATGGCAACTTCTCTCTGCGGTAATGTGTGTACTTCTGGACTCACATCAAACAATCTTTAATATTTAAAATCCCCTTGAAAGGAGTTTCTCCGAGCAGTTTCAGCCAAACTAGTATATATATGTAGGTATTCACCAAGTTGAGCAAGTAGCCTGGCCCTCTGACAAAACAGCAGATAACTCAAGCAACGACTGTTGCCGGAGTGCCAGACCACCTGCTCAATTTGTGAATACCCCTCATGTTTTAACCAATAATTATGCCCCTTTGCAAAATCTCGCTAAATAAATCTCACGTGGACTTTGTAGATGAGTCTCTCGAAGAGCTCTATGGATTGTTTACACCTCTCTAGCGAGATTTTTTATCTAAATCTCGCGTTTTTTCTCTACCGTGTACACTTAGCTTATAGCAAAGTCGAGATTCTATGTACGCGGTAATCTCGAAATCTACTGAACGGATTTTGACGAGATTTCTCTAGTATACTCTGTATCGATAGGGGAGTGACCTTTTCTATTTAGAATTTTAATAATGTTGCCATCTGTCTAAAAAACTATAATATCCGCAACATTCGTTGGATTGCAAAATATGAGGCGTCAAATGAAAGGGATTGACCTCTAGAAAAGCACTAATGATTTATTTTTTTGAATAGAGTTGCTACCTGTTAATAAAATTACAACATACGATCATAATCAGAGAAGGGATCAGTTCTGCACCGCCACTGTCAAGCGAAAAGATTTGGCCTCTAGACGTGCAATAATGTATTATTTTTCTGAGCGGGATTGCCACCTAATAAAAAGTTAAAAGATTTTCACCGTTCATTAGATAACAGAATGAGTTATCGAATGAAAAAGCATGGGCTTCGCATGTACAAAACTTTTAAGTTTTTTGAGTAGGGTTTCCACCTGTTGAAAAGTTCTTAACTTATCTATACAATGTATAAAGGAAAGTAGAGATTTTTTGAAAGCGCTAATATTGAAAACTACTAAACGAATTTGGACGAGATTTTCTCTAATATATTCTGTATAGACAGGAGCATGATCTTTGGTATTTAGAATTTCTATAGAGTTGCAGCGTGTCTAAAAAATTATAAGATCCGCGCAGTTCGATGGGTTACAAAAAATGAGGTGTCAAAGAAGAGGGATAAGCTTCTAGATAAGCATAAATGTTTTATTTTTTCGAGTAGGGTTGCCACCGGTTAAGGAAATTTCTATATTCAATCTTAATATGCGAAGGTATCAGATCTGCACCATCAATGTCAAACGAAAACACTTAGCCTCTACATGTGCAAAATGTATTATTTTTTTGAGTAGGGTTGCAACCTGTTTACAAATTTTGAGATCTTCACTGTTCGTTGGATAACAAAATGAGATATAAACCCTCAAACTGGCAAAACTCTAAAACTGAAGAAAGTGGGAAGCAAATTTTTTTAATGGTAAAACTTAAACTATAAATTAAGAATTAGTGATTTTCAAGTTAAATATACTTACGGTTTTTGCGGAATATGGGAAAAGAGAAAGGCTGCCTAATGGCCTCCTTGCCAGTTAAGGTATAAATAAAAATAGAAGTACATGGTTCGGTACAAATTTAAGTTTTTAAGAAACATTAAGATTAATAGATATTAAAGGCATTTTGTTATTATTTCCTGTGGTGGTAATCGAAGAAGTAATTCTTTGAACTTGAGCAGCATAGATTTAGTTTTCATTTTTGGCAAATG